GCAGGAAAATGGTTAGAATTTTTTAACAGTTTTCAGCTGCGATTGATCAGAACAAAGCGTTAAGCAAGATTGAAAAATTCGTATACTTGAAATCATTATTGATAGGGCAAGCATATAATGTCGTTGAAGGATTTCAATTAACCGAACACAATTACGATTCGTGCTTAGAACTTTTAAAAGAACGCTTTGGAAAACCAGAGAAATTATAAAATCACATATGAATAATCTTTTGGACATAGAACAGTTAAAAATTCTTCTAACTTAAATGCACTAAGAAGATTACACGACGCTTGTGAAATAAACATTCGAAGCTTAAGTAATTTAGGAGTAACTTCAGGTTCGTACGGACACTTGTTAAATCCGATATTATTGAAATTATTGCCTCATGATTTGATTCTCGAATATCACCGAAAGCGTGATCCAAAAGAGGAATCTGATGTTACAGGTTTAATTGCTTTTTTGAAAAACGAAATTGAATGCCGCGAACAAACGTACGCAGTTAACAAACCGGAACCGAAATTCGTTCCATTGAACGGAAAGAATAAACACTTCGACAAACACAAAAGTAATTATAATTACACAAACGAATAAGTTTAACTCTAAAGTTAATCCCCTCGTCGGCGGCAGAATTATTAGCTCCCTGTAAAAGAAGAAAATTGTATTTTTTTGCAAAAATAACACACATAATAGTGAAAAGTGTAATATGAGTGTAAATGAAAAACGAAATGTATTGCGATTAGAAGGTCGTTGTTATGTTTGTCTGGCTCAAGGTCATCGAATATCTGATTGTTCTGAGAAGAACTCTTGTGTATACTGCCACAAAAACATAATGCAACCCTTTGTTACAAAAATGAGAAAAAACCCGAAGCATCGCAGTCAAAAGGTGTAGAAAATTCAGCGTGCAATCACATTAGCATCGGTAGAAATAAAATATTTTTACAGACGGCGACAGTAGAACTCAAAAGTAGGTCTCGCAATAAATTAGTTCGTTGTTTATTTGACAGCGCTAGTCAACGTTCGTATATTCAGAAACGTCTGTCTAAACAACTGGGATTAAAAGTCGTGGGAAGGGAAGAAATAATGATTCATACTTTCGGATCTCAAGAGCCTACCAAACAGAACTGTGCGCGAGTAGAAGTAAAAATCAAAAACATTTTCGATAACGAGGAATTAATTATTCAGGTTTTAGAGACTGATGAAATATCGAATGCTGAGCTAGACTATCCTCCGGAAAATATTCGGGAGTTGTTGTAAGATAGGGGAATAATTTTAGCGGATGTTGATCACGAATCTTTAGATGACAACAAAGTATCTTTACTCATTGGAGCTGATAATTATTGGAAATTAGTAAAAGACAAAATTGAACGTTTGAACTCAACATTAGTTACAATGGAAACCAAAATGGGTTGGATATTAATGGGAAAATTGTTTGATCATACCGACGATAAGGAATATGTAACTAATGCCGTCGCAGTGACTTCTTTATTAATTCACACATCGAATATTGAAAATTTGGGGAAATTAGATTTATTGGGGATTCAAGACCCTGCTGAAACAAAATGTAGAAAGGAAATGGAAATTGCCGCATTGAATCATTTTAACGAAACTGTTACCTTTAAAGAGGGAAGATATGAGGTTCAGTTGCCTTGGGTAACAGAAAAGGTCTGTTTAAGTCAAAATTTCGATATTGCTAGGACAGCGTTTAAACAATACGACACACCGGTTGATACAAAAGGGCAAATTCGAGGATTACAAAAATGTTTTCACAGATTGGTTAAATGAAGAAATTATAGAAGTTCCTGAACACGAAATGAATAATCAGTGTCACTATTTACCACATAAAGGGGGTATTTAAAGAAACTTCGACCACGAAATTGCGACTGGTATTTGATGCTTCCTGCAAAGACAAAAATTCGCGCTCACTTAATGATTGTCTAGAAAAGGGTCCAAATTTGCTGGAACAAATTATTCCTATAATTTTAAGATTTCGCAAGAATAGAATAGGAGTTATTTCAGACATAAGAAAGGCTTTTTTGCAAATGTCAGTGAATAAGAGTGATCGAGATTTCTTACGATTTTTATGGTGGAAAGACTTTGACAAGGAGGAACTTAGAGTTTTTAGACATAAACGCGTTGTTTTTGGATTGAATTGCAGTCCCTTTTTATTGGCTGCTGTATTAAGCCATCACATTGATCTAAATTCGTCTAAATATCCTGAAACAGTGGAAAATTTAAAAGAATCATTCTACGTAGGTAACTGCATTACATCTGTTCCTGATGAAGAGACACTTACGCCATTCATCGAGGAATCAAAACAGATATTAGATTCTGCGACATTCGATTTGAGAGGGTGCGAGCACACTTCTCTCTTGAAATCTGAAAACAGTATAGAACCTACTCCTGTGTTGGGAATTTTGTGGGATAAGGAAGATGATAGCCTTTTCTGTGAGGTGAAGACTGCTACTTTCAAACCAGCGAATCTTACTAGAAGAAATATATTGTCTGAGGTACATCGCATTTTCGACCCCATGGGTTTTCTCTGCCCTATAACGCTAACACCTAAACTACTCATACAAAAGACATGGTTGTTAAAAATTAGTTGGGATACAAATATACCCGAAGACTTAGGAAAAGAGTTCTATTCGTGGATTGATGATTTGTCACTTTTATCCAGTGTTAGAATTCCAAGGGCTATCAGGTTCAATGTTTCTTCTAACCTTCTTCGGAAACATACAATGACCTGACTAGAACAGAGAGCTTACTAAAGCTATGTTCACTAATTGTAGTAAGTAGACAGGATACAGACGAAGGATATACAAAACCCTTTATTTTTCTTTATATACAATGACTTCCGTACTTCGGAATACAATGACCCTCCACTCGGGGTCTAACGTTAAAAATATTAAAACTCAAATTTAACTTTAGAATAATACACGTGTAAGATTGGCCTTATAATAACAGGAAGCGTATGTAGCACAGAGACTGTGAACACTACAATACGTTTAATTTATCAAGAGGATTAAAACCTCTGGCCTGGAAGGCAAATAGCAACTGCGTAACTTCTAAGGTAAGCGGCCTGCTTCGAAACTCACTGCTTCCTCTCTCACTCTTGGCAAAAAGGCCACACTTAAATACTTGGCGTTCGCCAGACAACTTTGCATAAAATCCTTCACGCTTATAATTCTGGCCGGAAGTAGAAAATAAGAAGTGATAGTACAGATTTAAAATAAAATAAACGTTAGTAAAACTTAAGATCCTTACATACTTCCCGCCAGAGTTAATTAGTTTGAAACTGAGGTCTAAAACGACCTTGTTGAAAACTTTTAGCTCTAGAAACTAACGCGAGGCCAACCTTTTATAATCATAACTTAGCTAGAAACTAGAAAATTTAAAAGAAAGAAATTTGTTACAATAGCAGCTCCCGGGATATACAACAATCTTTTTTTTTCATCTGTACTGCATCTAAACAGGAGCTTTATTCAATTCTGGTTCCTTCCAGAGATCTGGAAGGAAAACTAGTTTAATGAAATGTTACAGAATGACATTGCAAATAACATATAGAATATACTTCTCTTAACATTCTTATTTCATTCATGACTATTTTAATTATCTCTCCCCGTGCTCTCTGACATGTGTTGTAAAAGAACACCAAACACGAATGTGTTTCTGTCTACGTGTGCCACACTTCCTCCTACAATCAAAACACTAACGTGTTAAAATTCAACATACGAGACCTCTTAACACACCCTACTTTCAACTCTAAACCCTGAGGTACTATTCTAAAAGTGGCTAACTCTAAAGTGTAGCGTCAGAGAGCCTAACTACATCATTCAACCTTTACCACATATTTGCCATGATTTAATCTTTACAGTCACACGAATAACAAATTTTTAACATTACTTTCACTTTTACCATATCACGGTATTTCTTAACATTTAAAATAACAGTTCACATGTATATAAGAACATATCAACATGCCGTTAATTTTACACATTTGAAAACATACATTAGTAGTACATTGTTAACTTCTATTCTTTTCAAAGCAAGTGCCAATTCTTTCTACATTGAAATAATACTACATTTCAAAAAGTCTTTCAGACTAAAACTTCTTTCTTGCTAGAATGTTTTAAATAAAATTTATACAATAACTTTTTACAATATTTAAGTCTTTACACAACGCTATTATACATCAACTTTAGTTTTACGCGCGAGTAATTGAAAAACATAATAAGAAAATCGGTCACAACTCATTTCTCGCCCTTTCGGCGATAAAGGTAGACCTCGCATGAGGTAAAACTTCTTGAAATCTGCCACTTGCAGTAAGAATGAAAGATTAACTTAAGTTTGCAAAGTAACATAAAATTTTACTTATCTTTGTAATATTCAGACATCCTTTTCTGAGCCCAGTCTTTAAAGGTATAGCAGATAGTAGGTTGATCCTCCTTCTTGTACGGGCTCGCCCTCTAGTGCTTTCCTCTGGAAGCTTCCGTTTTTCACCAGTACGGCCACCCTTGAACATCTTCCTTTTGTCCTCTGCTTGTGGTCTTGGCCGTTTGAAGGCAGCTGGTCTTGGCGGAACCGGGAAACTTCTGTCGTGATCCTGCTTGGACCTCGTTGTTGGCCGTTCAAATTTTTCTTGTACTTTTTCCTCCGCCGCTGATGGCCCTTCCGCAGTTCGGCGAATTTTGCTGCGGAGAGTTCTGTCGGATGAGTCGATCTTCCGTTTTAAAGCCGGGTTATAGTTGCCGTCCTTTCTCCTGGTCCTCTTCACATACGTCGTCCTTCTCCCTTCTTCATTCTGGGGGTGTTCGTGAACTTTGGGACGATGTACCCAAATCCTTCCAGGGCGGCAGCTGGCATTTCTGGATTCTGAGCCGTTTCTGCAGGCAGCACAGGTTCTTCTTGAAACTCGGCCATGGTTATTTTTCTTCGTCGGGCGCCACTATCAGGTTCAATGTTTCTTCTAACCTTCTTCGGAAACATACAATGACCTGACTAGAACAGAGAGCTTACTAAAGCTATGTTCACTAATTGTAGTAAGTAGACAGGATACAGACGAAGGGTATACAAAACCCTTTATTTTTCTTTATATACAATGACTTCCGTACTTCGGAATACAATGACCCTCCACTCGGGGTCTAACGTAAAAGATATTAAAATAAAACTCAAATTTAACTTTAGAATAATACACGTGTAAGATTGGCCTTATAATAACAGGAAGCGTATGTAGCACAGAGACTGTGAACACTACAATACGTTTAATTTATCAAGAGGATTAAAACCTCTGGCCTGGAAGGCAAATAGCAACTGCGTAACTTCTAAGGTAAGCGGCCTGCTTCGAACTCACTGCTTCCTCTCTCACTCTTGGCAAAAAGGCCACACTTAAATACTTGGCGTTCGCCAGACAACTTTGCATAAAATCCTTCACGCTTATAATTCTGGCCGGAAGTAGAAAATAAGAAGTGATAGTAAAGATTTAAAATAAAATAAACGTTAGTAAAACTTAAGATCCTTACAGGGCTTTAGATTTAAATGGAAATGAAAGTCTTAGTCTTCATACGTTCTGTGACGCAAGTAAACAAGCCTATGGATGTGTGATTTATTTAAGAAAAGAAACAAGTGAAAATGTATCGGTGTATTTTCTTCTAGCTAAAAGTAGAGTGAGTCCATTAAGGAAAATGACCATAAATTGTCTAGAATTATTATCCTGCTGTATAGGAGTCAGACTCGCAGCTCTTGCTTTACAAACACTCAAATTAGACAACGTTCCAAGGAACTATTGGACAGATTCGAGTACTGCTCTTTCTTGGATCCAAAGAGATGACCATTGGGCGCCATTTGTCGCAAATAGAGTAAAAGAGATACGAAAATTGTCATCGGAATCTGAATGGCGTCACATTCCAGGAAATTCGAATCCAGCAGATATACCATCACGAGGGTGTTCGATTAAGAGTTTTGTGAAATCTCGCTGGTGGCAAGGGCCAGAATGGCTTATGAAGAACGAGGAAGAGTGGCCAACTAGTGAAGTGATTACTAACGAAGAAGAAATTATGAAAGAAAAGCGAAAGAACATTATTTCGACTCTGGATAATATCGCCGCTGAAAAATGGTATCTGATTTACTTTTCAAGTTATTTTAAAATTGTGAGAATGATTTCTTGGATTCTAAGATTCATAAATAATTGTAGACATGGAGGAAGAAATCATGGCAAAACCCTGAGTGTTGAAGAATTGGACATTGCTGAGAAGAAATTAGTGAAGATCGTTCAACAAGAAGTATTCTCTAGTGAAGAACAGTTGAAGGGACATTTTACTTTCAGAGATGAAGAAGAGATTATAAGATTGAAAACGAAGATTTTGAGAAGACATGATGATGAAAACTTCCGGTGCCCCATTGTACTTCCATCGAAACATGAACTAGTAGAAAGAATGATACAAGATTACCATTTACAACTTTTACGTGCTGGTACTCAAGTTCGTTTGACCAATATTCGTCAAAAATTTTGGATAATAAAAGGAAGAAAAACAGTACAAGGAATCATATCGAAGTGCGTTCGGTGCAAGAGACACTCGGCGAAAGCTCTTGATACAGAGCCTTGTCCTCTCCCAGAAGATCGAGTCAGAGATGCTTATGCATTTGAGGTGACAGGTGTTGATGTAGCAGGACCACTTTATTTAAAAGAAAATAGAAAAGCTTGGATCTTGCTTTTTACTTGTAGAGTTTATCGTGCGGTTCATTTAGAATTAATTGAAAGCTTATCGACTAATGGATTTTTTTCTCGAATTTAGAAGATTCATAGCATGAAGAGGACGGTCTAGAGTAGTATACAGCGATAATGGCACAAATTTTGTAGGGGCAAGGAATTTGCTCCGATCTCTTGACTGGAATCAAATTATCAGAAGGTCTTCGATAATGAAAATTCAGTGGAAGTTAAATCCACCAACAGCAGCATGGTGGGGCGGCTGGTGGGAGAGACTGGTTCAGATGATCAAGAAATTATTGAGAAGAGTCCTGGGAAAAGCATTACTTTCATATGAAGAAATGTTAACTATCCTATGTAATGCAGAAGCAAATATCAACTTCAGACCATTAACATACGAGTCAGAAGATTCCACCGATTTATGTGCACTCACTCCATCTATGTTTATTCAGGATGTGCGAACTGAAGGTGTTCCAGATCTGAACAGTTTGGATAAAATCAACTTATCGAAAAGATGGCGATACCACCAAAAGTTACGTGTGGAATTTCGTAAAAGATTTAGAGATGAATGTCTTGGTATGTTAGTACATCGACCAAAGACTGTACTTTCGCGAACTATCAAAAAAGGTGATTTAGTGTTTGTAGGGGACGATAAAAGGAAAAGAACAGACTGGCCTATGGGTCGTGTGATCGAAACATACCCAGGTAAAGACAACAACATCAGAGTGATGAAAGTAAAAACATCTAGTGGTGAACTGTTAAGACCAGTTCAAAGAGTATTTCCAATGGAGACAGACAATAAAGAATCTATCTTCGAGCTTAAAACTACTGAATAATCCAAATCTTCGAGAAATACTGGTAAAATGAATGATTTAATAATTGATAACAAAAACTGTGAACTTGAAAATTCTGATAAAAACGTTCAGTTTAGTAGATATGGCAGAAAAATTGTGAAACCAAAGAACTTTAATTAGTTTAATTTTGTTTTCAGTACCACTAGTATTTGTTTTCTTTATTCCTTTATTTGAATTAAAATTGTGTATACAATTTGATTTTCCAGTTTAGTGAATTAATCTCTTTGCTAGTATTTTTCAGAAAAGAATATTTTGCCTGTTGTTTTAAGAATGTAAGTTTGAAGAATATTAAGTAAGTTAAAAATATTCAAGATATTTGTTACGCCTAGACAAAATTGTTGATTTTGGTAAGATTTAAATTACTGATCTTATATTCGTATTTCAAATTTCATCTCACAATTGTTTTGATTTTTTCCTACTTTGTCAAAAATCAAAAGGTGGGAGAAATGTTACAACTCGAACACGAAATGAGCGAAAGTTTCTCTTCAGCCAGTGGCAACGGGGAGTCGAAAAACGAACTTGGAAGAGAGCGGTCGCTCACTCGGTTTCTCTTGATAGAATTTGATACGAAGGGGGGATAATCCCCATTTTTTGATTTGAAATTAATCTTAAATTATGTATATATTGTAATATAAAAGATGCGTGTAAATAAAAGTCATTAAGATTTAATTGAAGTAGTGATCTGAATCGAATATAGAAATCGAAAGCTCTCACAAATAGAACTATGGATTTTAGAAATGACAAGGGGACTTCTTGAACACCTCATGAGTTTGGATTTCTAAGGAAATAGAGTATTGCAAGGTCTGCTTATTGTTAAACTAAAGCGTTAGGAATTCTAAATACTTTTTACTTGAAATTGTGGTTCAGTTTTATAAAAAGAAGGACTGGAGCTCATCTTATTTAGGGCTCCAGCTAGAATTGTAATTTATCTTAAAAATTGAGAAGTGCCGGAGGCGTGCTCCGGTGCAATTTAAGCACTGATTATAGTCGCATTTTTGTAATTGCATGTGTGTGGTAGTACAGGAAGCTACGCATGTAGTTTATTAGATAAAAATTCACAACATCGTTGGTGTAGTGTTTAAGTCAGTGTAGACATGCCTAATGTCATCATTTGTCTCTCAATTGTGGAGTCCTAAGCAGGAAAAAATGTCCCACTGCAGGGTACCAGAATGTTTTGTGGCATAGTTTCTCTTTTTTGTACTAATTTTATGATCCGAGAATCAGGAAAAGAAAATTGCAAGTAATGTAATTTCCGAAGGATGCTGTTACGGTATAAATGTAACAATTTTAAAGTAATCATGAATAAACTTCAGGCAACTTTCACTGTGTTATTTCTTTAACATTAATCTGGTTTCCACTATGAATACATAATAATATTAACATTAAAATATCTGATAAAATATCTTCATTTTCTTGACCCCTGTTCTTATTGCTGTCTCTAAAGCATCTCAATTCTAACCCAAATCCTCTTGAGTTGTTCAAGAAATTAGCGAATTTGTGTAGTCAAATTTTAGTTTCAACCACCACCATTTTAGTGTTTTACAGAGTGTTGTAGGATTGTATTAATATTCAAGATATTTGTTACGCCTAGACAAAATATTGACGCAGTATCGTCATTCCATCGCCATTTTAGTTTTTGCAGAGTATTCTAGCACTGTATGCAAAATTTCTTGATTCTGGATAGATATTACTGAAAACAATTTGCACCTTTTTTTAGAAAAGATATTTTCATCTCATTATAATTTATTTTGCCATTTACGTAATGTGCATGATTATGTTATGTCTTGAATCAGTAGGAGGTAATTAATTTTCCCATTTTGAAATTCAGTAACCTATCAACAATTAAGACAGCAGGGTGTACTCCAACTGCGTCAATGAAAATCCCCCCCTTGTTCTGGTATTGTCCAACCGTGCGAATCAAAATTCCCCCCTGTTGCCTACAGAGTTACAGTTTTACTTTTCGAAGCCAATTGTAGCCAAGAGGCAAATAAAAATAAACAAATAGAATTGCATATCACAATCACAAGAACAAGATTATTAACAAGCAGGCTAATTACTTGTCAACAGTAATAAATGCGAGAGCTAACAAAGAAAGTAAAAGGTATTAGTAAACATACATAATAGCATTACAAACATCTTTCATTAATTACAATATTACAGCAAGGAATATTATAATAATATCATAAATTAAATAATTATAAAGGATACCAGTTGTATTTTTTATAAAATGACATCAATAATAGTCATGAAGTCTGAACTAGACTGCAAAATTTAGTATAGCTTACTGGCGTGCAAAAGGTTATTCCGTATCAAAGTGTGCTAGAAATATTTTTGTCAATTAAAGTAATCATGTAAATGTTTGAAGAAATTAACAGTTAAATTAAAAAAAAGCTTAGCATGAAATTTATTATAACAATATTAGTATGCGTTTGGAACTCTTACTTATAAATTGTAAATAAATTTTAATTATTATAACGTACATATAAAACTTGAATACAGTGCAACAATATGTGAAAAAGGAATGGATTAAAAGGGAACTGAAAATCCCAAGATATGAATATAAAGGAAGTTCGATTTTTTTTGGTTAATTATGAAAATTTTGTAGACACTCATAATTATCAATTTATTAATTAAATGTGGCCACCAGAGGGCCTCACCGATGCGCCAGCAGCGAGGTGAAAGAGGAGTATGACAGAGACTCTTCTGCTATCCCACGCGAAGGTGGGGAGATGTCTGTCTACACGTGAAGGTGTAGAATAAGGAACTGTAGTTTTCCACGCGAAGGTGGTAAATTGAACTGTTTAATACATCAGCAAGTGCGAGTAATCGGTTATGTGATAAGACTGGTAAAACTATACAGAATCCTGTTTGTATCAAACGGCACTTGTATTTAATCTAATTTGTACCTTTTCTGATTATCTTTATTAAATGTTCTGTGGTGTGGAAAACAACGCTGGAATTGTTATTTAGCATCTTCAACTCCCTCACTACAGAAAATCTGGGGGCCCTGTCCGATATATTTGGATATTTGGATACTTCATACTTGGATACTTCAGAGAAGGTACTGTGAAAACTTTGCTTTATTTCTTTCTTGAAGATAGTGATACTTTTGTTTCGTTTTTAAAATGAGTTTCCTAAATAATTTAAAGAAAAGTGATTTAATAGTAATTGCGGAACAAATTGGACAGACTGTTCCAGAAAATGCTAAAAAAGCTGACATTAGAAAAATTATCGAAAATTCTGATGTTTTCAAAACGAACGTTGAATTTGTTCGTTGCGTCGTTAAGTCGATCGCAGAGGATCGGACGCCTAAAACAAGTAATGAACACTAACTTCTGTTAGAGATCGAACGTCTTAAATTAGCTCAAATTGAGAAGCAGATTGAACTAGAAAGTTTAAAATCACAATCATTATCCAGTGATAGAAGAAACGCGTACTAGTGTTGAAGATATTATTAAAAGCGTCGAAACACTAACTATAGCTGTACCTCAGAAACCGGAAGCTATGCATTTGTTTTTTCAGTCACTTGAGAAAGCTTTTACTGCTAAAAGTGTACCAGTGGAGTTAAAATCAGAAGTGTTGATTAATATATTAGGTGATAAATGTAATAATGTTCTAACGTATATTTCTGAACAAGAAATCGCGGATTATGATAAATTAAAAACTCTAATCTTGAAAGAATTTCAGCCAACACCGCGTGAGTGTTTGAACAATTTTAAAAATGCGCAGAGACATTCATCTGAACCGCATGTTCAGTTCGCGTCTCGACTCAGTGCAACTTTCAATTATTATTGCAAGTTAAGAGAGGTAGATGACTTTAAGAAATTGTGTGATCTCATTGTATCTGATAAGTTGTATGAAACTCTGGATTCTAAAACAAAGGAACATATTAATGTTCGGGAGTGTCAAAGTTGGTATCCACCTAATCAATTGGGGAGAGAATGTGATTTAGTTTATTCATCCAGGGGTAAATCTTTAGTTGATACCAGTAACACACGAATCGAAACTCCAGAAAATAAAAAGCTTAATTTTTCCAAAAACAATCTTAGAAAAACTCAGAGCAATTTCAAGGATTCAGGGAAGTTTGTAAATCAAGGTAGTAGTAAACCAGAAAGTATTTGCTATGTTTGTGGGAGTAAAGGGGAATTATTTCACTTTGCGAGAAATTGTCCCAAACGTTTAGGAAAGGAGGAAAGTTTGTCTCCAAAAAAGGTATCTGGGTTAGAGATTGAAT